TACAGTGCTGATCCACAGTATTACACTACCCCGATATTAAAGTATTTACAGTGCTGATCCACAGTATTACACTACCTTCTTATTAAAGTGTGTATAGTGCTGATCCACAGTATCACACTATCTTCTAGTTAAAGTGTGTACAGTGCTGATCCACAGTATTACACTACCCCGATATTAAAGTATTTACAGTGCTGATCCACAGTATTACACTACCTTCTTATTAAAGTGTGTATAGTGCTGATCCACAGTATCACACTATCCGCTATTAAAGTGTGTACAGTGCTGATCCACAGTATTACACTACCCCGATATTAAAGTATTTACAGTGCTGATCCACAGTATTACACTACCTTCTTATTAAAGTGTGTATAGTGCTGATCCACAGTATCACACTATCTTCTTATTAAAGTGTTTACAGTGCTGATCCACAGTATTACACTACCTTCTTATTAAAGTGTTTACAGTGCTGATCCACAGTAGTACACTATCTTCTAGTTAAAGTGTTTACAGTGCTGATCCACAGTATTACACTATCTCGCTATTAAAGTGTGTACAGTGCTGATCCACAGTATTACACTACCCCGCTATTAAAGTATTTACAGTGCTGATCCACAGTATTACACTACCTTCTTATTAAAGTGTGTATAGTGCTGATCCACAGTATCACACTATCTTGTAAACTCTTTAACTAGAAGATAGTGTGATACTGTGGATCAGCACTGTAAACACTTTAACTAGAGTGCTGATCCAACGCAGCCATTTCATGTAAAACCATTTAAACCTACATTTTTAGATTGTGAATTATATGTTTGAACGTGTTGTAAAACGTAAACTTTAGTTTTTTAGGCTGTGAAGTATGTATTTGTAACGTGTCGTAAAATTCTAGCTGCTTATTTGAGAATCTGAAATCCATTTTTATTTTGTTTTTCAAATGACAGGAAGCCTAGTAAGTATCTGTAGAAACCAAAATACGAAATGCGAAACGTGGGCAAAAAAAGGACACTGCACCCACTTTGCCAGCTATATGGAAGAATTCTGTCGGAAAGCCTGTCAACTGTGTTAACGGTTTGCACCCACTTTTACAGCTATATGGAAGAATACTGTCGGAAAGCCTGTCAACTGTGTTAACGGTTTGCACCCACTTTTACAGCTATATGGAAGAATTCTGTCGGAAAGTCTGTCAACTGTGTTAACGGCTTGGCAACTACACTGCACCCACTTTTACAGCTATATGGAAGAATACTGTCGGAAAGTCTGTCAACTGTGTTAACGACTTGGCAACTACACTGCACCCACTTTTACAGCTATATGGAAGAATACTGTCGGAAAGTCTGTCAACTGTGTTAACGACTTGGCAACTACACTGCACCCACTTTTACAGCTATATGGAAGAATTCTGTCGGAAAGTCTGTCAAATGTGTTAACAATTTTGCACCTAGCTTGACAAAAAGACACAACACCCACTTTGCCAGCCTTATGGAATGAAAGACTGGTGTCGGGAAGTCTGTCGTTCATTTTACCGCACAGTGTGAAACTCAAGTAATTCTGGTGAAAAATTACTACATTTATCTTTCTAATACAGACTATAGACTCAATGTCTCTATTCCAATAAAATTAGAAACATCGACTACGTGGAATTTAGCAAGCAGACCAGGCCCATAGAAACATCGACTACACAGAATCTACCAAGCAGACAAGGCCCATAGAAACATCGACTACATAGAAGCTAGCAAGCAGACAAGGCACACAGAAACATTGCTAGCTCGAGGCTTGGACATTCTGTACCGCAGCCCAGTACGTTAACCAATAGTCCACAACTGACATTCTTAGCAGGAAGACGGGCCAGTGTATTTAATTTAAGACATATCTAGACTCAGCATATCTAAAGAAGTTTGTCTTGGTAGGGACTTAATTCTTTTGCACCACGACTAAATGTTTAAATTCCATTAGGAAGTAACCTGTTGTAAGAAACTAAAACAAACTGCAGAAAGAATGCCTTTCGCATTTGGTGTACTGTGTATTGTATTATGTACTTGTTTCAGCTTTATAAAACAAACCATCTTTAAAAATAAAAATAATCACTTAACGGTCGAATAAAATAAGTGATTGTATATATTTATAAAGATCGTAACCAAGTGATTTATTATCTGTATATACTATTTATGCAATGGTTAGATATTATCTTGAAAGATGATAAGGCTTAGAATTAAGTAGTTACAAATGATAACTAACATGAATAATTTAGTTGGTTACAATTTGATTAAAGTAGAGATATATTCGTTTTGAAAAATGAACGTAACACCGTTGTAAGGTTGGCAGAACTAATTTTATTGGAATAGAGACATTGAGTCTATAGTCTGTATTAGAAAGATAAATGTAGTAATTTTTCACCAGAATTACTTGAGTTTCACACTGTGCGGTAAAATGAACGTAACACCGTTGTAAGGTTGGCAGAACTACTTGCTAGATTCTATGTAGTCGATGTTTCTATAGGCCTTGTCTGCTTGCTATATTCCACGTAGTCGATGTTTCTATGAGCCTCGTCTACTTGCTAGATTCTATGTAGTCGATGTTTCTATAGGTCTTGTCTGCTTGCTAGATTCTATGTAGTCGATGTTTCTATAGGTCTTGTCTGCTTGCTAGATTCTATGTAGTCGATGTTTCTATAGGCCTTGTTTGCTTGCTATATTCCACGTAGTCGATGTTTCTATGAGCCTCGTCTACTTGTTAGATTACATGTAGTCGATGTTTCTATAGGTCTTGTCTGTTTGCTATATTCCATGTAGTCGATGTTTCTATAGGCCTTGTCTGCTTGCTAGATTCCATGTAGTCGATATTACATTACTTGTCATAGATTTTATATGGACTTTGTTTGATTGTTCTATTAGTTATAACGATGTTCATTAGACTATTTTCTTCTTGAACTCTTTGTTCTAAGTGTTACTATGTTTTATATATCTGTTAGGTTAATTGTGGTAGTTGTCTCAATTAAATTTGTGTGATTTTTAGATTCCTTGTGTACATAATACTCCTGGTTTTCTCTTTCTATAATTATATTACATGTACTAGATGTATCCATAGACTCTGTATGTTTGTCAAATCCATTGTACTGGATGTTTCTAACTACTTTTGCCTGTCAGAATACATGTACTAGATGTCTCCATAGACTCTGTATGTTTGTCAAATTCATTGTACTGGATGTTTCTAACTACTTTTGCCTGTCAGAATACATGTACTAGATGTCTCCATAGACTCTTTATGTTTGTCAAGTTCATTGTACTGGATGTTTCTAACTACTTTTGCCTGTCAGAATACATGTACTAGATGTCTCCATAGACTCTGTATGTTTGTCAAGTTCATTGTACTGGATGTTTCTAACTACTTTTGCCTGT